AAATACAGCTTTGATTTTAAAGTGTGCGTAAATAAGTATGGAATATGAGTTATAAATTATAATCAAATGTTTAAACTTTTTATATATTATAATTAATAATTATACATCGTAATATGTCTTATACCTACATAATAAATAATTATATGGGTACGTATGTTAGGTACTGCATACGGGTGTAACATGATGGACGATTATGAGTTGGTTCTTAGGTTGTCTACAGGTAACATACGTATTGGTTCCTGCAAGCTTTCATGATAATGCAATCTTATTAAATTAAATTTTTTAATTATTATGATATTTTCAATCAGCAACAATTTCCTTCCAATTTTAAACAGATTTAGTACTGTCTAGAATTATTATAGATAAATGAAATATTTCATACATCAAACACTATCTAGAATACCTAAGTATGGTTAACAATGTTGCTCAGTATAATAATAATTTATACATATTATACGTTATGAACGTATTGTTCCATAAAAATATTTTTTCTTACATCAATAATAATAATAATAATAATTAAGTGAAACTAAAAATTAGTGTGGTATGAATTTACAACATATATTTTGAACGTATTGTAAATTCAAAATTTAGTAGTCTTGACATGTGACTAGGTTAGTATTGTCACAAGACTAACGCTGACGATAAACAAACATAATCAATTTACTAAGTATAAAATTATACATATAAACTTTCCCAGACATCGTAAAACCTAATAAAATATTATAAGATTATCGATTTGTGCATATTAGTATATCAGTATTCAGTTATATACATATATACTTATAAGTAATTTTATTTGGGAACCAATTCAAACAGCTGTATACTGGAATGTCTGCAAAATATTTTTTTCAGGAATCAATTGTGCATATTGACCAACACAATTGCGCACAAAATTAATTAAATTTTATATTGTTGACTTAAATGATTATAATTTAAAAACTGTAGTTTAAAATCTGAACTAGGTGTTTGGTTGAAACAATGTTTTGCACTTAGATTTTTACCCTAGGAAGATGTAGTAGATGCTTTATTTTTATTTATTTTTTTTTTTTTTGTATTAGATAAAAAAAATATACAACTATACAAAATTTTGCACAACAAGTATTAATGTTGTAGATGGTTTACATATCGTGAAAGAGGCGCGATGTAGGAGGCTCCCAATGGAGCTACTTACTTAAGGGAAAATTTTTTTTTAGGAAAAAATAGTTTTTTTTTTTAATGGAAAAGGTTTCTGATCTATTTTCTTTTGAGTCTTCGTGGAGGATTGTCAGGGATGTGAATTGAAACAAGGTGTCTTATGTTGGGATTAGTATGTGTGTTAAATTTTTTGTATAATTTGAGGTAGACAGTTGTTGGAATTTGGTTTACATATTTAATTTTTAGGTCAAAGTGTAAGGATTTATTACTAACAAACCAGGGAGAATTAAGATGCTTTATAAATTGTGAAAATCCATGTCATGCATGTTCTCTGAAACTACTCATCCGATTATTTTTATTTTAAATGAAAGAGTACATCTCGGACCATATTTTAAGCTTACATCTGATTCCTCATATGTTAATGAAAAATTGAGTTATTAATTTTTTAAATGATCGGTAAATACGTACATAAAGATATTTTTTTTTCATCCGTATTAGTGTGTTACCAATTATTAGTTATTATTTAAAATTAGTTTTTTAGTGAATAGTTGATATAGAATAACAGTACAAAACTGCCTCCTCCTAAAATTTTAAATTTGTTACTTACCTAAATGTACTAATATTCTATAAATAAAATGTATTTTAATAATACCTAATTGTAATAATGACAAAACATAATAATGTACCTACTATAAATAAAACGTATAAAAAAATCTTCATTTATTTTTTAAATTAATTTGCCCCCTCCCCCCAAAAAATGTCTAGGAACACCCATGCAAGGGCGGATTTAAGTCAAATTTTTAAAGGGCGACTTTTTATACGCAAAAAAATTGTATTTAATATTTATCTTATTCTTGTATAGAAAAATACTTAATTTTTTTCTTGAAATTTTCATTTTAAAAATAAATAATTAACATTAAAATTACTTATATAACGAAATAATTATTTAATACATCTATTATTATTTTTTTCATATAATATAATAAAAATAAAGAAAAATATTATACTTGAATTAAAAAATTTTTTATTGAACTTTAGTTAAATGAAAAATAATTGCATAATACATAAAAAAATGTTATTTATTATATAAAAAAATTTCGTTGTACAGAAGTGATTTTTTAAAATAAGGACGGTAAATTTTTTTTTGGCATAGGGCGGCAAATTGTTAAATCCACCCTTGCGCTCATGTAAATCATACTACCCGTCTTTACCACAGGGGGAAAATATATTTGTCCTGAGGTAATCTGGGACCCAGTATCCAAATTGGTTGATGGTAAATATTGCCCGAAGAAGAAAACTATTCACAAGATCTATTGTGAACTCGGTCACGATATTATTTAGGTACTTGACTCAAATAAATAAGGTCTTAATTTTTAAACCCCCCCCCCCCCCCCCATGGAGATTTTTATTATCCTTTAGAAATTATTTCATTAAATCGTTGATAATCATAAGGATTATGTATACAAAACTAAGACATCGTTTTAAAATTCAAACATAATAATAAATTGATTGTTTTTTCGAAGTTCGATTAAATGTTAACAATAATTGTCCACGATGAGATTAGGCACATTATTCATCTTTTTAAAATTAAACCGTGTCGAGTTAATTATATTTTATTGGTAAAAATTAAAAATTATCGGGCCTAATTTAAAATTAAGCTTTTTATTATGTTTTATTGCCAGGCTGCATTTACATCCCCCCCACAAATACACCTTCGAATTTTTTAAGCAGATATATATCCACCCATGTTGTATTTATCAAAATATAGAAAAATACAAAATTTAAGTGTTTATGTTAAATAAAACAAATTATGAGCCTACTTATTACTTAGAATGCACTGCAGTCTTAAGACTCAAGGTTAGAATTTAAAACCTAGAGCATTCAAAAAATAATGTACGGAAGAGCTTTTGCAACAGGTTGAAAAAAGTAAGCAAACTTCGTCGTGTGACTCTTGACATCCTCAGAAAACATTTTCCACACATCTCATGAAATGTCGTAGTCCCTGGGTGAAATCATATCAGAAAGAAAGACTTGATTATAGAAAGTTATGTGCAAAATGAGTGCTAAAAAAATCAAAGACAAAAAGAAATGGAAGCTGACTCATAGTGTGTTACTTCTTTATGACAATACCAGACCTTCTGGTCCAGCTCATTTGGGAATTTGGGACCTACTTGTTTTATTTGGGTGAGATTTTGTGACTTGGTCATCCTTACTTCTCGGACTTGGCATCATCGGATTATCATATTTTTAATAAATTAAAAGAGTTTTCGAGTGAAGGAACAATTTTTTAACTATAAGGAAGTCCAAGAAGCTGTTTAAAAGTAGTTGATGGTGGAATGGAAAGAATATGACGATTGACGAGGGTATACAATAATTGTGGTCCTAACCCTTCAAAAACGTACCGAGGTCGACGGTAATTATGTAGAGAAATAATTGTGTTTTGACACATTTCTTGTAAATTTCGTTTAAACAAATGCATGTTCCTCGAACATATACAATGTGATATGTATAACATAATTGGATCGATTTTTTAAAATATAATATATCATTACAATAATTGATTAAATCTATAACGTTTAGAAATTGTTTAATAATAATATATTTAAATGTGAATATATGAAACTAAACAAACTAATCTTTTGATAATATTATTTTATTTGTAAAACGTGAAGATTAACTTTTTTCTCATGATACTAATTTTACTGCTTATATTTTTAATTTTTTAGATGCTATTGCATATAAATCATCATGGCTTTGAATAGATAATTGGTATCGAAGCATTTCATTGAGTACCTTTTATACAATGATTATTTATTATTCATTTTACATGCAATCATAACATAATAAATAAATCTGCATTTATTTTGTTCATTAGATTTTGAAATGGAAATAAATTAGACACACTCTTAAACCTTGATTTTTTTCATCGCAAAAATATTATCAAGGATGTTAAAGTTATAATTTTTTTAGTTATTAATTATGTTATTTATAAGTTTGTAAATATTTTTCAAGGTCTATATAAAAATAGAAGGATAATTCATACAAATATTGATAAAGATATTATTTTGATGTCAGAATAAGGTAAATACTTTAAAATACAACACAAAGAAGCCAATGAAATATAATACAGATAGAAAAATTCCCAGGAATAGGTATTAAACTACTAAATACTCCAACTGAATTATTCATATAATTGTTTTATTAATTTAAATGATAATAAAAAAAAAATGTTTAATATTTTTTCTATGATACATTTATATAGTATGAATAATAGTTATAATTATATTTAGGAATAAAATATGACATATGGTTTTCATTCCATTATTTTGTCATTAAATATTATAGTATAATAATACACAGTTTACTGCTCCTGCTACTACGGCTCCCATTGGCCTAATGATATGCCAAGACATTCAATGTAATTTTGATTATTTTACATTTTTAAGTACTATTCTATGTAATAATAATCAATACAGTTACATAAAGTAACATCATAATATAAAATAATGAAAAAAGAACAATGAACATATGGGTAAAAAAATTAAAAATAAAGATTTCTAAATTACTAAAAGCAATTGCATAAATCTACATTGATACTTTAATAAATGGACGATGGTAAAATGAAACAGACAGTGAGTTAAAGGGGTGCACTTTGAAGTAGCAGGAACAACTTATGAACTTAAAATAAATAAAGGTATTTACATTGGAAAATTAAATTTAGCAAATAAAATGTAATAAAATTAAATATAAATGTTAAAACTAATTATCTACATAACAGTAAAAAAAAAAAATTTACAAAAAAAAAAAATCACTGAATTAATTATGTTAGAAATATTAGAATTAAAAGCTTAATAGATCACATATATTAATTGAAAAAAATTAACTTGATTAAATAAAATTTAAATATTTATTTGCTCAATAATTATATATATTACTAACATTTCAAGCTTGATACTTGTTAACTCCAAGACGAAAATGTATATTGTGCTTATAATAATCTAACTTAGCCTGAGAATAGAAGCAGGCAAGTAGCCCATAGAGTTAAAAAATACAACAAACTAATAAAATTGAACAATGGAAAAAGAAATTAATGCTTTCATCACATAATACACGTAGAAAAGTTTATAAAAAACACACCCTTTGGATTATTAATTATAATTATCTCTAATATATTAAAAAATTACAATTAATTTCCTAATTAATAAATATATAGTATATAATTACCACCCTATCAAAGGCTACATAAACACAATCAAAACAATTTCTTGGCAAAAGCAATTATATTATATTAAGCTTGGGAGGGACATACTTCTAGACATTTCTGTCTAAATAGGAGTCCACAGCAGTGAGCCTTTGTATTAGGAGCAGTGAACAGACTCATGAGGCTGAATTTGAAGCCATTCTGGTAGGAGTAGTTGGAGTTAAACCTTTTATCTTACAAACCCATCCAGCGATATCAACTGGTTCGCTTTCTGCTTTCTTTATCCACTGATGATCCTACGAAATACAAAAATAATTATTTTAATACATTGCTTTATAATTAAATTTATTTATGTGTTATTGACTAATTGTTTAATACAAATAGTATACAATTTTAGAAATTATCATTATAGTCACACAATAAGTGTTTATGTTCTGCTGGTAAGTCTTAAAGCTAAAAGTCATATTTTAATGTATATAAACAACCTAATAATTTTTTTTTTTTCTAAACTATAAAAAAATATTAACAAGTGTTATATTTCACTTTCTAATGTTAAAATTATTTGAATGTAACAAGTTTGTTAATTTATTTATTTTACAAACTTGAATAATTGTGTGCAACTTATCTATTATATTAGTAATTGTATTAATCCTCATAATTTAATAAATTAATTATTATAACTCAATGCATACTTAAGTTGAGATTAGGCTATAATGTATGCACATGGTGGTTACATTTTTAACATTTTAGAATAAATATAAAACAGTTTAAAATTTAATGAAAATAAAATTACATAAAAAATAATTATATTTCATATAGAACTTATCAGAATTGACTGCATTAGTTATTTTAAGATGCACTCATTAAATTTGGTTTTAGGCAATAAATTCCTCAGAACAAAACAGAACATATTGGATATAACGGCGAATGCAATGTTAATATTATTAAAATTTCACACAATTAAAAACCAGGAAAGTCCCAGAAACCACTTTGCTACATATTAGGTGTCTAGTGTACCTTGTCATTTAAAAAGTTAATTGTAATAGTTGTGTTAAATTTGAATTCAATAATGAAAATCTTTACTAATTGGAAGCTGATTACTGATTTCAAATGTTTAGTCAAGTAAATTATTTATTAATACCAAAATTAAAATTCCTTTGATGAATTGACATTAGAAATTTCAAATTATATTTACCATTTTTTTTTAAACTTTAAACATTCATTGTTTTAATGTTTAATTTTTAACATTGTGAATGTGTAATATATATGTTGCTTGGACAAAGGCAGTATATTTTTGGTAAAATGTCTATATTATAGGTCTTGAACTAAATGTCCATTTAAACTATTTGGGGCATTTAATAGATAGGATTAATGAATTAATACAATTTTTAACATATAAAAAAAAAAACTAATGTTGATTTAAATAATAAAAATATTAAGACAAAAAATTTTTTTTAGTAAAATTAAATTTAAAAAAATATGTAGACAACTGATAATAGATGTTTATTTTCTGAATGTGATTATAATTCTAATTTAATATATTATGTTACATAGTATTTTTGTTTTTATTGTCTAAAATTTCTTTTTTTTTTTTTATTGAACTGTTTATAACATAAACAATGTATTTATTAATTGCTAATAATTCAATATCTATAATTCATATAAAATTAAATCATCAGAAAAATATAATTCAAATTGACTATTCAATTTTTTAAATTAAAAACAAACAACAAAATTGTTTAAGAATAATTATTAGTTAATGATGAGACATTGAAAAAATGTGATGTGATAAATAACTAAATTTAAGATTTTTTCAAAAACATTTTGCTATAAAATCCAAACCCAGTAATTAAAACAGAAATTAATATTAAGTAATAATAATATCTTACCATAAGCATTTTGAAATCTCCTCTTTCATTAGGATTTTTTTTTAAGCATCTATCTACAAAATCTTTGAAGGCATCAGAAAATATACCGGCTGGTAATGTTGGAGGTGGTTCATTAACAATGTAATCAAGGAGTTCGAATATGGCCATTGGCCTGGGTCCATTTCCATTTGCTAAAATAAAATCATATGTATACAAATGAGAAAACCATGCAAGCCAAGAATTCATAAATTATTTATGAAACAATATCATAAAATTATTTTATATACATAAAAAAAAAAATTTAAATGCTAAATGAGAATGAAAGTTTATTTCAATACTCAATCACTATACAAATATATTTTAAAATATTTGAAATTTTCTTACCGAAAACATCACCTTCAATGTTTTCTATTGCTTCAGTCGTCTGAGATCTAGGTCCAAATATTGACGCTAGAGTTTTAGCATCGGGTGCAGGTATAGGATACATTCCAATGGCCATTTCAACCAAAGATAATCCCAAGGACCATATATCACTTTGTAATGTATATTGTGTACCTTGTAGTCGTTCAGGCTTATAAATTAAGTTTAATAAAATTAGTTACAAAAATTAAAAGTAAAATTCTATCAATGGTTTTCTTTATTATAACTTACAGACATATATGATCTAGTACCAACAAATGAGTTAGCCATAGAGTCTATCAATTGACCAGATACACCAAAATCACATATTTTAATTTCTCCTGCACTATTTACCAAAATGTTACTGGGTTTGACATCTCGATGAATAATTGAATGTTGTTCTCGTAGATAAATCAAACCTTTAACAACCTAGAGAAATATCGAAAAAATTAATAAATACATTTTTGTTTTCTATAACAAAAAATTATTATTGTTGACGCACAGCAGCAGTTATAGTTCCAAGCATTGGCTCAGGTATTCGAGTTTTTTGCAATATGAGATCAAGGGAACCGCCGTCCATGTATTCCATACAAATACTAATTTCACCATCACTATAAACATATGGTAATTATAAAAATATATTAAATGATTGTTTATTCTAAATTATATACATTAATACAATTACCTGTAAAAAGCTCCATAAAAACCAACTATATGTGCATGGTTACACTCGTGTAAAATTTTAAGTTCCCGAATAATTTGTTTTTTTATTGCAGGCTTTACTTCTAAGTGTATGAGCTAAAATTAATATTCATATATATAAGTAAAAGTAAGGTGTAAAATCATAAAAATAATAATTATAGTAAATTATAAAATACGATTGACTATGTATTATATAATTTTCTGTAATATATTTTAGAGGTTTAAATATAAAAAAATAATTGTGCACATTAGTAAATCAATTGAGATAGTTAAGTTCCATTACTTTTCTAGCCATAATGAGTCCACTAGACTTATGTTTGACTTTCATGACCACTCCACCATTTCCAGCACCTAGTTCACCATCTTTCATTTTCTCAAAGTCTGCATCACTAAGTTCACCCCCAATCTTTTCTTTTTGACATAAAAATAATTCCATTCGCTTTCGTTGTTCGTCGTCCATTCCAACTCGGTCTAACTGTTCTTGTAAACTTGCTACACTTAACTTGTCGCATCTATAATTTACATAAAAATTATGTTAACTGACCAGACTTAACAGATAATTTTAGTCTTTGTAGTTTGTGATCTATTTACCCTGCGTCCGATGCTGCCGATAATGGTGCAGATGGTGACACAGGCTGTTGATTGTCAGCCACGCCAGGAGGAAGAGTCAAGTTTAATTTGTTTTTCGACATATTTCTTAAAGGATCCGACAGAAAAAATCTTTTAAAGATGAATGATGATTGATATTTGACGGGGTACCGTTATCGTTGTATTAATGATAAGGTATGTGTTAAGGAACAAAGTCAATTTGGATTTTATTCACCATGGTTGAGGATGTTGTAGTCAACTCTACCACGTACGTGGTACGAATAAACATTTGTTCCAAAGGTATTCAAAAATAAATTATAGAACAATAAGGTAGGTATAACAATAACACTATAGTTTTACTTTTACATATAGATAGATATTGCCGACATAGGTAATTTTGGAAAGACATTAATTGAAGCAAATTGTTTTCAAACAAATATGCATTGAAACAAAGTTAAAATTTAGGAATTGAAATTATTGAAATCATTCACTAATCATTGGAATAAGGTCTTTGGAAAACAAATTTGTGGAATAAAAGAAAGTAATCCCAAATTCAAGTAAAATAAAATTATTAATTCACTAAAAAATATTATGTTTTTCACTTTCACAGATGGTTATTCAGAAAAGTTTACAAATTAAAATATTCAATTATTCATGTTGATAGAATTTAATAACGTTTAGTACTCATTTAGACAATTAACTAGGTACTTAAACAGTTTCAATTTCACTAAGTAGCCGGTCAGTGTATCTGTCATCTGAGGACATTAAAATATCTTCTTCCCTAGAAGTTATGTTTTATATTTTGTAATCTATTTACACGTTTTATTTTTATATCACCATTCACTGATCATATGTACATGATTTAAGGCAAGGGTTGGCAATTAAATTCTATGACGATTCAGACAACAACAAAAAATAATATTTTCGAGGGACAGAAAAACTTAAATATTAGTTAATAGTTGTTGACGTTGTTGTATGTTGTATTATCGTGACTATTATTGTAAACAACGATAAACGATGCACATCGTCGTAATCTTTAAATATAAAAATAACTAATGCGAAAAACTAGTATTAAAAAAATATTTTTAGCGGTTCAGATATTTTCATTGCACGGGCAGGATTTTACTAAAATCGTTTTACCCGCGGGTTGCCTATTTTCGACCACTGATCTAAGACTTAAGGCTTTGGTAAAAATGTTGGTAATAATTATTTATAAAAATTTTACTTGGCAACACTGAACTATAGGACAGATATCTGGACTATTCTATTAATTTATTCTCTTTGGTCCAGTCTGAGTCATGATAATGATTTTTATAAAACTTTATCATGGTCCGAGTGGACTGAGCGTCCGAGACCCTGTAGGATTACTATTTACTAATTAGTATTTACTACTTACTACTTAGTACGTTAGTACTTTACTAGGATTGAACATTTTTTGATCAATCTAAACTGAACCACGATTTAAGGAAATCTAAGAGGTGTCTTTGTAATTCATACATTATATACTTTATTTGTTTCTATTTCGTCTTTTACGGCATTTTGGTAAATACTTAATAGTAATTGCGTTATTTATTTTTCGTACGTCCGTAGTTATCAAACATAAACATGGCTAAGTTTGACTTGACGAGTAAGATGACGAAATATCTGGACCGGCACTTGGTAGCCCCTCTGCTGGAGTTCTTGTGGGCGAAAAAGGTAAGTTTTCTATTTTTCCTTTCTTGATTAACAAGGAAACGTAAACCAATTGAGTACAGTTCATAGTAGTTTTGGTGAATTTTCGGTTGTGAAAACCTATTTGTTCCCCATATTGTGTTTATGATTTTCGTTAAATAGCTAAGTATAATTTGTTTTATAATTTTTACTGATTTTAAACTGTTTATTAAGATCTACAATGAAAATGAAATTTTGCAAGCCAAATTGGACATTCTTAATAAGACAAACATGATGGATTATGTTATTGAAATTTACAAACAGTTGAATCCTGAAAAAGAAGTACCCGAGGTATGTACTTATGTTTATTTTAGAACGGTGTTCTAGATCATCTGTTCAATGATGTTTTTTATTTAATCATAAAATGATATTAGGAAATGAAAACAAGAAGAGACCAAATTGTGTCACAGCTTAATCAATTTCAAAGTGAGGTTGATGTTGTGATGAATTTCCTCAAAGATGATAAAGTTATGAAAAATATGGAAACTATGAGGGATCCTAAAACATTGTCAACCTATTTGACCAGTGAATTCAATGTGAGTGTTATTTCTATTCTACATAGATTATTATTGATTGAAATTTTAAATTCCAATTCTTAAAAACTTAATCATCTATTGAGATTTTAGATTTTATAATTGAATGTAACTTTAGTACCTTTCCACCCTTTAATTTTTCTTTATTTAATTTAATGTAAAAATTACTTATTGTACAAGCAAATGTATAGATTGTAATTATGTTTTCTACAAAATTAAAAAAAAGATTTTATTTCAGATAATTTTTTTCTTTTAATGTTCTATGAAATAATTTAAACAGGTATATGAGTATCCATGGTTTATTTATAAAACTTAAATAATTAACCTCCGTTATAGATAAGTTATCTAAATACTGTTATTTTTTGATTTGTTTAAAGTTAATAATACTAAATTTTAATAGATTGTTGAATAATATACTAATATATTTAAAGTATAATTTATAAATGAAGCTTACTGATTATTATTACTATCTCAGGTATGGAATATTGGTGCCAAGAGTTACGATAACTTTATTTTTTCACGTAACAGGTTACTAGAGTTATTTAGTTTACCTTTCAAGGTTTCCTAATAAAAATTAAACCAAAATAATCAAGAATTTTCTAGGGGTTTCTTAAAAATGTAAACCCCGATTCCTTTAAAAGTCTTCATGATTTTTAAAAATTATTTGATGGTGTAATAAATATTAACTAAATAATTTATATATATATTTTTTTTTTGTTATTTAGTTTAAAGTAGAAATGATGGAAAGTATGTACAAATTTGCTAAGTACCATTATGATTGTGGAAATTATGCTGGTACAACAAGTCATTTGTACTTTTATTTATTAGTTATGTCGCCTTCTGACAAGGTAAATTCATCAATGTCTAAAATTCTTATTAAATTTATAATATTTGAATTATTTTTTAGAACTATTTAAATGTTCTTTGGGGAAAACTAGCATCTGAAATTCTTATTCAAAACTGGGAAACTGCTCTGGAAGATTTAAACAAACTGCGAGAGTACATTGATTCTAATACAAATGGTTCTCCATTGCATTTGCTACAACAACGGACATGGTTAATTCACTGGAGTCTATTTGTATTTTTTAATCATGTTAAAGGACGTGACCTTATTATTGATATGTTTTTGTACAGACCAAAGTAATATATTTTAAATAATAATAAAAATATATATTTTCTAATTATTTTTTCTTCAGCTATTTAAATGCTATTCAAACCATGTGCCCACACATTCTTCGCTACTTGGCCACTGCAGTAATTATCAATCGTTCAAGAAGAGCAGCTATGAAGGATCTTGTTAAGGTTATTCAACAGGTGAGTTTAAAAACATTTCACAATATTTAAATTAATTATTGATCATTATAAATTTCAAATATTTATCAATACTAATACTATGTTTAGGAATCATATACTTACCGTGACCCTATAACTGAACTTCTAGAAAATCTTTACGTTAACTTTGATTTTGAAGGAGCTAGAGACAAATTACATGAATGTCAAATTGTTCTTTTTAATGATTTCTTCTTGACTGCGTGTCTTGATGATTTTGTAGAAAATGCTCGTTTGATGATTTTTGAAACTTTTTGTCGTATTCATCAGTGTATTAGTATCGGGTATGTACATATCATATGTATGATTTTATAACACTTCAATAATTTCTTTATTATTTAGTATGTTAGCTGAAAAACTTAATATGAACCCAGAAGAGGCTGAATGCTGGATTGTGAACCTTATCAGGAATGCCAGGTTAGATGCAAAAATTGACTCAAAACTTGGACATGTTGTTATGGGAACACAACCTTTATCACCCTACCAACAGCTTTTAGAGAAAATAGACACATTATCAGTGCGATCAGAAGCACTACAACAACTTATTGAAAGAAAAGTCAAAGCTAAAACTCAAGAAGTAAGTTAATTTTTATTAATTTTCTTTAGTAATATTTTTTCATAAATATTTATTTATTTCAGCAAGATCCACTTTGGTACAATCCCTGAAAAGCTATTACAAATGATAAGTTCTAAACAAGTGTTTTTTTTCAATAAAACAAGAATATTATTCATGAAGTATTTTTAATTATTTAAATAATATTCAAATCATTTTCTGAAGTTTTTTGAAGTCCTCAGACCCTTAATATCCTATCTATTTAATAAACATCATTATTAAAATATATTATCAACTAAGATTAGGCATGGATACTTCCAAATAGTTGTGTTGATTTTGAATATTTAAAAATACCAATTTTATTTTTACTGTATTGTTTTTAAAATGATTTCCTTGTGGCTACCACACTCGAAATAAACAAAATGCATATTATAATTATTGCTTTTAAAGTTTGTTTAATCTTTTTTTTTTAATTTCATTTTTTCTTCTGTATAATTAGTAAAAATTATTTTTACAATATAAACAAGGGAAAGGTTAATATTTATAGAAAGATCAAGACAGATGGTCTGAGAGAAAGAAGAAACCTATAAATATTGGGACTTTGGGAAATCTTATTTTAAATTGTGAATTTTTTGGATGGTACCTACATTGAAATAAGCGTGAAAAAATTCACAGTTAGGGGGAGGGTTTAGCTATATTTGTATTAGAATTGTTAAAGTGTTAAAAAAAAAAAAATAAATTTAATTGATTATTGTTATGATGTAAAATCACTGTACTACACAGGAAAATTTGGCTCGGACAGACGGTCAGAAAAAACATACATACCTACCTTCTTTTATTTTGGAACAAATAGATGATACCCATGAATATTATGAACTTTTACTTGGGTCACATTTACGATGTATAATAAGTGAATATTATTCCTAAAATATTAATAAAACTTTAAAAAATTACTTCTTTTTTTGATTTTTAGAGTTGTAATATTGTTTATGTATAAATATGGTCACTCTAAGATAGATTATTCTTGATTTCAATAATTCCATAGTGA